TCTTCTTGGCTTCTCCACTTTCAAAAGACATGGTTTTCGACAATTTTTCAAATAATTTAAATAGACTAAAATAACCTGAAAAACCTTGGAGTATCCTCCAAAAGAACATAGAAACTATATTCTCTTTGTCATCAGATGCAAGGAGAATTTGGTAGTACAAAATGGAAATCATGTACTTCCTGTGTGGTAATCCAAATCATCTTATACCTGGGACATAGGAGGTGCAAGGTCTAATTTTATTTATTTAGTTACTTAGTCTATTCTGATACTCTTCCCCCCACTAATGATAAGGTGTGGGCCATCTGACTCAGAGATAATGAAATTGGCCAGCAAATGCCTTATATCAGCTATCTCAGATAATGTGATTCTCTGAGGGCATTCAGTTACAAAGGGATCTGTGAAGGAGATGTGGTCCACCCGCTTGACATCTTCGTGATTCCATTCATGAAGTAAGAACATAGCTAATTCTCTGGCAGAGTTCCTTCTCCAAACAATTCTTCCATTCTTCAGAGACTGATTAGTCTCCAAAGTCAATCTCTTCTGGATTCAAAATTGCATGGCCAACAAAAATACAGCGTCATCTGTAACTTTTGGCTTGGTCTCACAGGAATATTACACACCTAAAGTTACTTTGGCATCCTAGCAGCTATGGTAACAAGATCTTTTCCTGAGTATTGCAAAAAATTGAGGGTTGCTTTGGCTCACCACTACCCTGAGTGATGTGTGATAGGCAGCAGCACAAAATACATTTATAGAGTAAATACATTTTTAAGGGTAGAGTTGATTCTCAGCTTTCTTTTGGCTATAATGGTAGTCAGTGGCATGTAATCTCCTGTGCCAGTCACAGGTTCCAAGAATCATAGGGTTTTATGAGTCTTAGTAGCTTAAAGGTTTTGTATTAGCATTTCTCTGACTTCCACAGCCTTCTCAGGAAACTCTACCTCAGCAACAATATACCCCAGATAGGGTTACTTTGACTCACTGAAGTCCCATATGTCCCCACAAGGCAATTGTGGTATTGTGCTTTCACAAGCAGATTTGAAAAACAAGGTGATTTGAGACTTAAGAGCAAAGCAGGGTTTTGCTTAGCATGAATTCCCAGCACTGTTTTCTTCAATGTTCTACTATCACAACCATAGATAGATAGATAGATAGATAGATAGATGTGAATAGTTTGTAGTGCTGTAAATTTCAGACTGGCATTTTGAAAAATTTAGTGCAGGGCCTCAAAAGTAACTCTGAAAAGACATGTCATAAGTAGTTTCTATTTCAGTCCAGTGAATATGCCACCACTATACCATTGAACTGATTCTCAATTTCATAGTTACATAGAAGTATGTGATGTGTTTCTTTCCAAAAGAGAAAGAAAGAGCAAGAGATGGAAGAGATTCATTATGCCTGTTTCCATAGTGACAGAGAAAATGAATGGGAAAGTTCATAAACACTCCCCTCTTCTTTAAAAAACTGGATTTTACTTCTTGACATCATTTTCATTATTTCCAGTGACACGATATCTAGTGTGGAGGCTTGTCCTGGATCTGTTGTTGGGGTAGATTGGTGTGGCACCCCCTCACACCCTGAATTAGCAAAGTAGTATTTAAAATATTTTATTATACTATGTACCAGGTATTCTAAATATAGTTTCTGAAATATTGGGGGACTGCTATAAGGTCATGGATATTGATCCTACCTAAAAGCAAAATTGATCATCCAAATAACAAAAGGATGTCATGGGGATGTCATGGTATGTTTTTGAAACTCTGAATCAGTGCTGCTCATGTGGTCTGGTTATGAGTGGGAAGAAAATATTTATGGTGCTTTGACTGAACTGTGTATCACAGTAAAAATTCTGCAGATATCCAGTGCTTTTCAGTTAAGTATGAGGAAATGAGAAAATCAGTGTGGTGTAGTGGTTTGAGTATTGGACTTGAACTCCATGAGAAGTTGAATCCATAATCAGCCATGGAAATGCAGTGGATAACCCAATGCAAATCACATTTCATAACCTAAAAGACAGGCAATAGCAAGCCTCCTTTCAATTAATCTTGTCAAGAAAATCCTAGAATAAGGTTAACTTTAAGGCACATATCAGCAACAGCAGCAACAACAACAACAATAAGGAAAGGGAAGTTTGAGTTAGAATGGCTGATTTAATATAAAGACCCCTTTTTGGATCCCTGCTATGGCCCTGGACTGGGATGAGCCCCTATCACCATGAACCTAAGGTGAGCATATCATGTAGGCATCTGAAAGGTCAAATCTGCACATAGAAAAATTTGCAGATCGAAAGGGCCAAGCCTAGGAGCTGCTAAGCAGGACATTTATACCTAGGGGATTTATGAGTGCCAGCCAGGATGTGTCCAGCTAAAGATGAGATTACATTAACATCCAATCTCCTCTGCTTGGAAATTGTCTACTTCAAACAGTAGGAATTGGAATCCTTTGATATACAATAGCAACGTTTCACCTCAGACTAGGTTTAAGGGTTTAAATCAGGGGTAGGCAACCTTTCCCCTTTAAGGGCCGAGGGACTTCAGCTCCCAGAATCCCAGGAGCTATTGGCCAACATGGGACCATTGGCCAACATGGCTGAGGCTTCTGGGAGCTGAAGTCCCTCGGCCCTTAAAGGGAAAAGGTTGCCTACCCCTGGTATAAATGAACCCCAAAATCTATGTTCTGAGAGCTGGTTTTGGAAGGGAAGGGGGGAATCTTACTCTCTCTCTGAAATTCTTAACCATGTCTCCCTCGGCTGTCCATAAGCAAGCAGCTGGGTTCATTTTTATACAAGGAATGCAGATTCTATAGGTAACTATTTTTGTGTGTGAAACCTTTCTTACAGATTTCATGTATTCTCTGTGTATATGTGTGCTTGCTTGTTGACTTATTTTTCGCTCTCAAGAAAAGTACTATACTTTTGGAAAAATGTTATCTCTGCCGGGACTCTTACCTCCCTCCCCCTGCATACACTGGGTCCAGATCCTACCCATCATTTTTGAGCTAATTATAAATTCCCCAAGTTCAAGTTCTTATTACACTTGTAAGCTTCAGGTTCTCACCACCCAACTGAAATTTGGAATTTTTTTTGAACCACAACCAGATTGGGAGAGATGGGGGAGGGATGAGAGAACAAAATGGTAGGGCACAGGTATGCTATGGATGGTCTGAAATGGACAAAGTTCATAAGTCACCAGCCAAACAAAACTGCCACAGGTTGCTGGTCCTTCCTCCTCCCCATTCTATTAGTCCCTGCCATGGAGGTAAAAATGGAGGAGATAAAAATGAAAAACATGGATGGGGTAGTGGCTTCTCCCCACTAGCAATCCCACTTGCATGAAGCTCAAGGAAAAGAGGAGGGGGAACATACAGCTCAGCTATTGTTTTGGATGCCTACTGAAGCAAAGGCAGTATGGAAAGGGGAACTAGGAAAACTGCTTGGCAGTAGCACCATTTATTTTCTCCATTCCCCTACACACATACAAACATACACACTCACTCCTTTTGCAGTGTAACTGTAATGTTTTAGTTACTTTTACAGCTACAGGAGTATGACCTCAAACTATGGAGAGATGCTTTGAATAATATGTTTAGGGATATGAAGAGAGCCTTTTATTATTTCTGAGATTGCATTCAATTTAAAGCGACTTATCTCCGACAAGGTTTTAGTAGAGGGTGTTATCACATTCAGCCGAAGCCAGGTGACTGCAACCCACATGCAGCACGGACCCCAGCTGTGCTGAGGCAGCTGCTTTTCAAAAATGGCAAGTCCCATTTTTGAAAAGTGGCTAGATAAGTGCCGCTGGGGTTCAGGCTGCATATGGGTTGCAGTCGCCCAGCCTATTAAAACTAACCACGACTTTATCCCATCAAGGATAAGTCAATTTTAAATGAATGTGATAATCTTCTAAGAGTATCCCCACACACTTTCATTTCCTAATGTTAGACCCACTCTGTGAGGGCTAAGCAAAGCACAAGCAGGAGTAGACAAAAAGGAAAAGCCATCTACATAATCTCTGACATTTCACAGATGAAAACTTAAGACACATGTGGCTAAGCAGAATCAGAGGAGTGTTGTCACAATGGCAAAAGTTATTAAGAAGGAAGAACACACAAACTAAGAGAGGTTGCAGCAGTTTGCTTTTGTCAGAGCCTCCTGGGAAGTGCAAGATTCTACATTCTTCTTTTCTCCCTCCTGAGTTAATTATGTGCAAATTACTTTTGCACTTGGAACTCATCTACCTTGCAGAATTAATGCAGTTTGACATTGCTTTAACTGGTATGGCTTGATGTTATGGAATTCTGGGATTTGTAGTTTTATTTAGCCTTCTTTGTCAGAGCGCTGATGCCACAATGAACTACAGATCCCAGGAAGGAGCCATCAAAGTTAAAGTGATGTCAAACTGTACTGCAGTACAGATGGAGCTTCAGTATGCAGCAATGGAAGTAAGGTGAGGATGAAGGGGGAAAGTGGGGGGGAGGGAGGAGGAGAGGAACTGGGACATTTTAAAACAACTGGAAAAGTAAGATGAGAGGAAATTAATCCAGATTGTTCATGCCAAATTGAGACAGTTGGAGGGTATACACCTATAGCTAGGAAAAGCAGGTCCCTAAGGTGCACAAATGTGAAAGCACTCTTCTCCAGCAAACACTGATAAGGATAAGGGGAAAAAGCACTTGACCTGCTCTGGCTTATTAGAATTAAAGTGTATTTTTGGTTTATGAGATTAAGCTTCCTATATTATCCATCTTTCCCTGCAAAGGAATGCTGAACATCTTTTAGGTTGCTGGGTCATTACCAATTGTTCATCCCCATCAAGGTCAAGCTATATGTATAAATGTCCAGTAGGTATGTATTTTATAGCCACCCTTTCTTCCAGTGTAGGGCCAAAGGTTGCAAAATGCCTTCAAGTCATTTCTGATTTATGGCAACCCTAAGATGAACTTAACATGGGATTTTCTGGGGTTGAGAGTGTGTGATTCACTGGTCACCCAGTGTGTTTCCATGGCTGAGTGGAGAATTGAACCCTCATCTCCAGAATCACAGTCCACCACTCTAACCATTACACCACACTGGCTCACAACATAGATTACAACATAGATTAAACAGGGTACTGCTAAAACAGATCATATTTAATATTAAATATTAAGCCTTTCAAAACTTGTCAATTGTATTTATTATATTTTAGTCTATTTAAATTATTTTTATTGTTTTAACTTGTTTTCATTGATTTTACTTGTACATTGCCCTGAGATCTTTCGATAGAGAGTGGAAATGATTTTTTAAAATAAATAAATAAATACAAAAAGGAAAGCAAAAAAGTAAAACATCATATTAAAAGCTGATATACAGTCATCCCTCTGTTTTTGCAGACTCAAATCTGTGTCCCTCAGCTGTTTGCCAGTGGAGAATTGAGGGGGACAAAATGGGCCGTGTGCCCTTGGGTGCATACCTCCATTTAAGCCAATGGGGCTTGAATAGCCACAATTTTCTATTTTTGCAGGGTGTGTGTGTTCTGTAACGGATCCTCCATGAAAATGGAGGGGCAACTGTATATAACAGAGGTCCCCATGAAAAAGTCTTTCACAACATCCAGTTAATAATCAAAAGCATCTCTGTAAACAGGTCTTTGCCTGCTGATAGATGTTGCTGTGAGCAGGAGTTCCACAATCTGGGAGCAACTACCAAGACCTCCTGTGTCCCCATCAAATGTGTTTCTGATGGTGATGGGATTGAGACAAACCCTTCTCCCAAAGATACCAAAATTCAGGAGGTTTTATATGGAGAGAGATGTTCTTTAAGATAGTTTGGACACAAGCTATATAGGAAATCATGTATGAAGATCATCTTTGGGAGCTTTCTAATAATGTAAGAATCTTGTCCTGTCAGAATCTAAATTATGTTTCTGATGCATGTAGTGGTTGAGATGCAGTTCAACCATAAAACTGCATAGCATGATGGGAAATTGGCTTCTTGGCTCTGGGAATTTAAATATGGCATGTCTGTTCATGTGCAAATAAACTTGGGACTAGCAATAGCCCAGCTTGGAGGACAGTTAATTTCAGATGGATGGGTGAATGGATGGACAGATGGATGGACAGAGAAACAGGAACAATATCAGTTACCGCTGAATGGTAACAGTTCCTATCCTTTTGGCAGTGAGGACCCTCTAACTGCTGCCATTTCCTGGCATGCTGCATTGTTTGTCTTCATACTTTGCAAAAGCAGTGCTGCTTCATCTACTCTTAGAATCCAGCCTTCAAAAAAAGGAAAACATAATTAAGGAGAATTGATTCCTTCTCCTCCAACTCCTAGGAGAAAAGCAATGAATATTTCAAACTGAGTCTGAAACTAAATGTGCTAATTGGCAGAACTGTGAAGGCCTCCCCCCTTCCCCAGTCCCTGAATCTTGATCCTTTTACCAGGCAAAGAAAAGGATGGATAATATTCAGAAAAATGACAGAGAAGGATTAGCCATCCTTCTCTCTAGCATAGCTGCTGTGACCAAGTTGGCAGCCCCTATTAGGTGAATTTCATGACATGGCTACTGGCCACACTGGCTTGGGAATTCTGGAATTGATAGTCAAAAAGATAACTAATCTAAATCCCTGTCTTTATAAATTAGTATAGAAGTAGCAGTGTTTGTGAAAGTCAGCATGGCATAACTATTTGAGTGATGGACTAGGACTCTGAAGACCATGGTTTAAATAGCCAGGAAACCCACTGGGTGACCTTGGGCAAGTCACACGCTCTGAGACCAGGTTAAAGCAATGGCAAACATCTGAGCAAATCTTGCCAAGAAAACCCTATGATAGGGTTGTCATAAGTCAGAAATGACTTGAAGACATGCACAGCAACAAGAAGTGTTTGTAGAGGCTTTGGGGGGAGGGGGAATTGTAATGTTTGTTGTATTTGTAATTTTATAACACTGCATTTGTGTTTTATATTAATGGATAATTTGTGTTTTAATAAAAATATTTTTAAAAGATAACTAATCCAAGTTCTGCAAAAGAAAAAAGAAAAAAGAAAAGAAAAGGGAATTCATGGATCTTCTACAGAATGTATAGATGGAGCCAAGGAGCTTTGCTGACACAGATTACGGAGGCATCACCAGAAAGCCAAAAGGAAGGAAAGCAAGTGTGATTCATAGCCTTCTGCAACCTTTTTCCTGGGAAAGAAACTCCAAATGTACAAATGTTCCTGTATGAATTCTTGGGATAATTATGGTTAGAAGGTTAAACCTTGCCATGTGCCTATACTATAAAATTTACAAGCTGGCTCACTATCAAGAAGGGCACTTGTACATATGAACATTATTGCCATCTATTTCCTTAGAAAGCCATTAGTGCCTTGTGACGAACAACCATACACCAATTTCCTCTCTCTCTCTTGAGATGAAGGTTCAGTGAAGTCACAGATGTTTAGCCAATGCCTGTGGAGTGTGGGTTGAAAATAATCAGCTAATAGTTTGCTATTATATACATGGAAACAGAATAACATTTCACAGAGAATATGTACTATCATGGGGGCCTAAATACCCTAGAGAGGCACCAGATCCCACCTGATCTTGGAAGCTAAACAGAATTAGCCCTGGTAAGTACTTGGATGGGAGACTGTCAGGGAATACCAGTTACTGTAGGCTATATTTTAGAGGAAGGAAGTGGCAAAACCACCTCTGAGTATTCTTTGCCTAAGAAACCCCTATGAAATTTATGGGGTTACCATAAATTAACAGGCTACTTCAAGGCATGTGCACACACACACACACACACACACACACACACACACAAACACACACACACACACACACACACAGTCAAACACAGGAACAGAATAACATTTCAAGAAAGGTATGTACTATTGTGCATTATGTTTCACTTTCTCCCTGAAATCCTAAGGGATGGTTCTTGCTAGCAAAGTGGTATCTTGGTCAGATGGAGGATTGGCAATGACTTTTTTTAAATGGTCTTTTCAAAAAGGTTCATGATTCAGCAAGCTCAAGAAATAAAACATTTTCAAAGAATTCAGATTAAATCTGTCAAGGAATAGTTATAAGAGACAAGGAGTAGGGAGGAAGAATAATGTATGAGAAGAGAGAAACAACTAGTTTTAAATCCTTAATTTAATCTGCATACATAGCTGGGAATATTTTTTGTTGCTCCTAAAAATAGTGTTTTCTCACATCTACCATTTTTCTCTCTCTGCTCTCTGGAGGGCTTTATGATCCTGATGTGAATGCTTCAGAAAGCCATAATATGGGCCCTAGATCTGTCAGCTATGGGCAAAACAGTAATCACCTGCATACCCTTGATTTAATATCAGAAAAGTGGATGATACTGAATCTGGTTGCTGGCAGAACTACATGTTCCATTCGGTTCTGTTATACCCTGGGGAGGGGAGAAGGTTGAAATCTGAGCTAACAGCATGGAGTGAGAAAGAGCAGCAACTTCACACTTGTTCCTTACATTGTACTAAATGATTCAGGATGTCAGTAGTAGTGATGATGATGATGATGAGGGGGAGGAGGAGGAGGAGGAGGAGGAGGAGGAAGAGGAGGAATTTATTGTAATTTCCATTCATGAGCTCAATTTTCCTTGGTAGATCATGACACTGAGCATGATTTCCAGCTCAAAAAATGACTTCTGGGGCCTCTTACATATAGGTAGTGTGCCCTCCTTATTTCTGCATCACTCCTTTCTTTCCCTCAGTAAAGGCTTCCTTTCCATGAGGAAGATGAGAAGTTACTAGCAGAGAAGTCCATCCAGGCTGCTGCACCTTTTGATCTTTCTTACCAAACACTTATCACCAGTGGGGTAGTGGTAAATTTGAAGAACAACTATTCACCATTGTAATCCCTATTTGCTGTTTGTTTTTCTGTGCCTCCAAGTCATTTTTGATGTATGGCAACCGTAAGACAACTGTATTATAGGGTTTTCTTAGCAAGTTTCTCCAGAGGGATGTGCCATTGAATCCACTGAGGCTGAGAAAGTGTGACTTGCCTAAGTTCACCCAGTGGGTTTTTATGCTCAAGCGGGGAATTGAACCCTGATCTCCAAAGTCATAGTACAATGCTCAAACCACTACACCATGTTGGCTCTCGTAATCCCCATAGCATACCTCAAAATTTAAAAATTCAGACAGTTCTTCTGAACAATGTCAACAAACCAGTTCTGGCAGTTGCTCAGCTACAGCAGGATAAAGTTTTTGTTTTTTTTTAAATAAGCCAATGGATCATAGTAGTGGTGACGGGTGGCTCTAATATTGGAGGGCCAGTGAACCTACTCTTTGCTTGAGTCAGTATTTTGAAGGAGCTATACAAGGCACTGAATACTACACCCAATTAGATTTCTCATTAATAGGACAGTGGATCCCCTCTGGGCTTTATTCTAAGTTATTCAAGATGCTGAACACTAAAATAGATACAGCACTGTCCCTCTTATCCACTGTCCTGCCAATGAAGAAACTACAGCTTCTGTCCTATGTTCCAATCAGCAAGTGTCCCAGGAATCAGGTGATTAGAATACAAGAGCTGTAAGGAGTTAATTCAGTCCAAATCAGTCACAGGGCATCCATCAGAATGAAGGGAGAAGGAAGAGGATGGTCATCAGCCAGCCCAGGGGTTGTTCATCAAGTTAATGGCCCAGATAAACAAAGACAGCAAGAAGTAAAACAGAGTCATAAATCACAGCCAGTCCAAAGTCAGGAAAAACAATGTGGCAGAGTACTGAAGAAGGAGGGTTGAAAGCAACAAACCTGCCAGGGAGCAGCTGGGAGATTTATAGGCCACTGTCACAAAATTTGTTGTTGTTAGCTGCTTTCAAGTTGATCTCAACTCATGGCGACCCTGTGAATGAGACATCTCTAAGCCCCCCTATCTTCTACCTTTCTGCTCAGGTCCTGCAGGCTCAGGACCATGTTTCCCTGACTTGTCTATCCATCTGTCATGAGGTCTTTATCTCCTTCTGCACCCCTCCACATTCCCCAGCATCACTATCTCTTCTAATGAGTCCTGCCTTCTCATTATGTAGCCAAAGTATGACAGCCTGAATGTAGTCATCTTGGCTTCCAGGGAGAGTT